GTCTCCCAGTGACATTGTAGCAGATCAGCTGCTGGCTTTCTTAAATGAGAACCTTATATCTGAGAAGGTTTTGTCTGGTTTTTAACATTTATCACAGTAGGAAGGCAGTATATGAATAACCTTATCACCCCAAGTAAGAAATCCTTCCCAGTTTTTCTATATCTCTGTGCAGCATTTTATACGCTTGTCATATTTTTCAGAAGACTTTGCAAGCACTTGGTGGGCATTACCATCACAGTGCTTTCCTGTTAAAGTTGTAATTTTCTGGCAAAGTTTTAGCACTGGCCATACTTTACAGGCCATATTTTAAATTGCATATTTTCACACTACCTCTTCAAATCAATAGTATGGACCTCGACTCAGGAGGACGCTGAAAGACTGGACCTCCTGGAATTTTAGTTGAATACTCCTGGTCTAAGACCAGGGCCATTAGCAACTTTACATTTTTACAGCCATTTGCTCAAAAACACAGTGAAGTGCAGGGTGCATTCAGAGGACTGTTCAGCACTTGTATTACTGTTAGCTGTCCATGGTGCTGAAGAGGATGATGATTACAAGTCTCATCTTCATGCTTTGTGTAGCACCTTTCACTGCGTGCAAAGTATTTCTTGGATCTTTTGAGTGTTATCCCTTTACAGGCAAAAAGTATAATATATAGGAGCCATTCCTCATTGAACAAAACAAAACACAAAAAAAGACAGCATAACACCAGCAGCCTACACCTTTCTCCATCAAAGTCTTGACTGTAGTGCCTATATGATTCCTCATTGCTCTCTGAGTAATGGTGCCTGACATAACCAAAACTACCTGTATGCTCATGGTGAGCAGTGGTGAGAACACACTTAAAATGCAATCAAACTATACGTCTGGAGGAAGGGTGTCTAAGGTCAGAAACTCCCCACAGACGTGTTTAACCTTCTCTTTAACTTTGTTAGGACAAGACAACATCTGAGGTATTAAGCTCGCTCTCCACCTGTCACGTGATTGCTGTGCCCTCCCACATACTTCTCGTCTCACTCAGACAGTCTCAAAAACATACAGTCCTAACATGTGCAGCAGCTGTCAGAGCCACTGTGCAGCACACATTGCCAGAACTGAAATACTGTATATGTATTACACCCATTATCTAATGAGGAAGGATGTAATATCACTTGCATCTTAGAACTCCAAAAGCTTAATAACCTCTAATTACATGTGATATAATTTGACATGAAAGACATCTGTGTGTTTATGCATTTCTGCCAAAGTAAACTGGAGTCAAAGGGACAAAGGATAAAAGCAGCAGCTGTTTCATTCAGTAAACAGAGCCCAAGAAGCGTTCTGAGAAGCAGTGTCGCTTCCTCTGGAGAAATGTGAAGTGCATTTTAGTTTTTTTGTTTTTTTTTCTACTTCCTTTTCATACTGAGGTGTTAGTCATAAGTATGTGCATGCTGAGCATCTATGGGGCACTGTGCATAATTTTGTCAATGCAGGGCATCCTTCAAAATTGGGTTAATAACAGCCTGGTGAATAAACTTTTTTTCCTCCTTACTCTAGCAGAGAACTAATTTTCCTCCGTGGATGACCCAAAATATCCCAAATAAAAACATCATTTCCTGACTGCAAACTGATGAATAAAAGTCTCAATGTTACAGTGGAGAAGTGGTGTCAAACCCACTCACAAGCTGCTGCAGCTTTCTTCCAGTTCTCAGTATGAAACCACGCACTCTTTCATACTACATCGTGCATTGACCCAAGTACAGTAATGTCAGAATACTCACAACATGCTCATAGAGACAATGTTACTGACCTTCCTATAATTTCTGCAGTCAGTTTTTTTTCTAATTAAGAAATGTGACATATATCCAGACTCATCCATACATACAGTATATTTAAACTGGGTCACACAGCAACATGCAAAAAGCTTAATATTTCCATTAAAGAGGTACTGATCTGCTTGTATAGAGGCTGATCGAATGCACGAGTCTGAAATGTTACTGGAATGCAGCTACTTTGGTGGCACATCAATATATGCATAGAGTAAATGTGAATTAACATTCCTTAATTGATGATTAATCAATTCTGAATTAATCACAAAGCTGTGGTAAAATCAGTTTGGGCAGTCTTTATGAGGCATACATGTAAATGACTGAAATGCCCTGTATAACAAATCATCACACATCTCTTAATTCAACACAAAGATCTATATGCTAAATGATCTATACTGTCTTAATCATCACTGTAAAACTATCTGTCAGGTTTGCTCGGCCGCTCTGCCTCCCTCACCTTTCCTACTGTCTCTTGCCCCATTACTCTTATCATGTTCACCTGTTCCTCACTCCCTTATCACCAGCTGCACTTGATTAGGTCACTCACTATATTACCCGGTTTCACTCCTCAGTCACTTGCCAGTTCGTTCTAGTCTCTAGGCCAACTTTACTCCGTGCGTTTTCATTGTTTTGTATGTATTTATCCCCTAGCCAGCTACTGTTTTGTGTTTCCCCGAAGGACTGTTCCTCTGGACCGTGGCTCCACTCTCCCCTCCCAGGCAGGTCAATGCTCAGTCGCCTATCTGTTCCACTATTGGCATAATCTCTCTGTCTCTACCTTCAGTACCACCATCACCGCCGACCACCCGAGGAGTGACCC